ATTAGGACCAGATTAGGGAAAGGGGAATGGGGGGGGGTTGTTTTTTATTATAAGTTCACTTCTGTTTGACTTCTATTTGACTTAATGTGTGCTATATTTATCTTGTTTTAAAAATTCAAAAATTAAGTATAAAAATAATTTTAAATACCCTGTTCTATTTAAAATACTCTATCCCACTATTCGGCTTTTTGTGCCAATTTTAGGAGTAGAAAATATGTCGCTGTAGCTCTAATAGAGATAAAATGTTCAATGTATTATGGGAACACAAAAAAGAGATCAATTAATCTCTGAGGAAACTCAGAGATGGAAGGTGCAAGTTTAACTGGCCCTTAAAAAATGTTAAATTCACCAGACAGATACCTGTGCAAAAGTCTTGTAGGCACAGGGTACAGCATTAGCAAAAGCATGGGGATGCACAGAACCTGTCATGTTTGGGGAGCCACAGTGATCCGTGAAGCATGAAGGTAGAAATGACAGAGGAGGAATGGCTAGAAATAAGTTGGAAAAGAGAAGGAGGGGTTGTAGAGAAGACCACAAAGGGCCTTGAATGCCATGCTAAGAAATGACCTTATTTAGTGTATCCGCGGATCCTAAACCTGAGTGGTTGTTAGAATCACCTGGGGGAATTTTGTGAAAATACAAATTCCCAGGCCTCTCTCCCCTACCAAATAAATCTGACTCTCTGATGAATAGACCTGGAAATGTGTATTTTGAAACCAAAAATCCCTCTGCCTCAGTCATAAATAAAGGGGAATCATCAAAATTCCGTGTATGGTGTTTAAAAACACCACTCGGAGTGCAAGGAGAGAGGAATGGAACCAAATGCCCCATTAGGAGGTTAATAGGAATTCATCATAGGCAAAGTCCCGTTTCTGGTACCTGTCAGGCTGAAAATTAAGATCTCTTTCCAGGTGCTTAAAGTTCTGGACTTATTCTTGCCTGGACTATGCTGAAGGTGGGGAAGGAATGAAATTGGGAAGAAAGTAGGAAGAGGAATGTCTGCTGTTGAAACGACTACATTTTCCCTGCCCCTTCCTCCAAGCGTCATCACGAAGTTCACACTGTGAATTTCTAGTCAGAAAGAATACAAAAGACACAAGAGCCATCAAGCACATTCGTCAGGGTTTTTCCTTAGAAGCAAGGACTCTTCCTCTCTTTTATTAAAGCAGCAATAACCACACTCATAACCAGTCCATGTTCCTGGGCAGCAGATTTCGTGTGACCTTTTTAAAAACTGACTCAGTTGCTTCCATCAGATCCTAAGCTGATGTGAATTATAATACACAAATGGTGCTCACCAGGCACTGGTGCTCTTGAATTACTCTGGAGTCCTTCTTCCAGTAAAAGTGTTTCTTCATTGATTCAATACATATCTGTTGAGCACAGAGATACGAAGACACATTAGACATGGGTCCCACCCTGAAGGATCTAACCTTTCCCTAGTGATCAATAGATCGCTGCAATTTCTTCATCCAGCACATTTCAGATCCTAGCAGTGAAGAGCCACCATGAAGTGTTAGCATCCCAAAAGGCTGGATTATTCTTCAGTAGAATAATCCCTGCAAACTTCAGTCTCAAGCTGAACATAGAATATCAAATTTGAAAAGAATCTTCAATCTCACTTTATCCAACCACTTCAATTTATAGATAAGAAAAGTAAGGTGGAGAACAATACATTGATTTGTTCAAAGTTATACAGGAAGCAAAGGGCAAAACTCAAGCTGAAATCAGATGTCTTGACTTCCACTCCGAACCTTAAAGCCTAAATTATAATTTCGAGTTCCAGTGCCATAAGTAATCTTCCTGAATAGGATATGAGTGGGAGTGGGCATTAAATTCACCTCATGTCTTAGGAAAGGTGAGGAAATTAGAGAAATTTAAGTTACTGGAACAGGGGGTATATTGACCCACAGCAGGGAGATTACATGACTTGAGTTTACTCACATGCCCAATTTCTGCAATAGTTATTGAGTGTATATTATCAGTGATAAATAATACAGATAAAGTCCCAACTTTCTGACTTGAATACCCCCTATTATCCCACCCAAGACATATCAGAGTGAGTGTGGCCAATCCATGCTTATTCTTATCTGCACTAGCTCCAAACCTATAGTTCATCTTTCTTCCTTTCTCAAGTTTGGCTCTCAAGACATAAAGCAGAGATTCCAAATACACAGCATGCACGCTATCTCTGTCCTATCCTCTATCCTTGACAGACATCACTAATCAATCACAACACTCTTTTCACTGTATTGTAAGAAGACCTTAGAATCCTTCCCCATACAACTCTACACCACTACTGCTAATCTATCTAAGATGACGTATGATTGTAAGGTGCATGAATATTGCTCATTTTTTTCCCTACGTAATCTCAGCCTGAATCAAAACTTAAAATAGAATTGTTTGGAGATAGAGTACAAGAGGAAAAGAAAGAGAAGAGTTCTAATGGGTAACAAACAAACAAAAAGGGATGTAAGATGGCCCAGAATCAATTCAAATGATTCAATAAATGTTTATTGAGTGTCAGCACCATGCTGGATTGGGGGTAAAATGACATGAATAGATATAATTTCCATCTTCAAAAGTTTCCACACCAGATGGGAAAGATTTCTATAAAGGGATAATTTTTAAGCAATATAGTAATGGTTATAATTGGGTAAGCTCCATGTCTTCAGGCAGGGTTCATGACTGTATTTTTCACTATTGTATACCCAGCACCCACCAACACACCTGACATGGACGTGGAACGCAGTAATATTTGTTAAATGACCAAGGCAGAGGTCAAAGTACTTAATTTTTCTGGAATAAATGGGCAAAGGCCTTAAGGAAAAATCAAAGTTTTCCTGAATCTTGAGAAATCAGTGAGAATTTTCCAGTTGAAGAGGCATGCATAGAGAGAGGAAATCCTATTTATATCTTTGCTCCAAAATTTTGATGAAAAACAAAATAAACCACTTGTCCTCCATTTGTTCATAGATAATAATTACCCACATCCCAAATGACTTAAAAGTGTGCTTAAAGAATATATAATAAAGTGAAAGGTATGACTATGTTTTCATCAAAGCTGTTGTAATCCATCTTTATTTGCTATAGATATCCTAGAAACCCCAAATTCAGCAGTGCTCACAGATTCCACCTGGGTACATGCTCTCAGAGTGACCTTTTATCTGCTTTTTGTGTGTGTGCAACACTAATTAAAATCAATTAAGGTGACATGTCATTGACTGGCCTGCTTTTGCCAGGGCATAACGAAGAGACAGAAGAAAAGACATGAAGGGTAATAATGTGCTATTTGTTTTTACTTCCTAAATTGCAGATGTCTGTTTCTAATGGATGAACAACTAAAATTTCAAAGCACTTACTTCAAGCATAACTAAATGTCTTCAATCAAGCAGCTTTATTAGAGATTTGATTAACATTATCTCTTCTTCAAATGTGTTTGAAAGAATTTATTCCTGAATATATTCTTGAAGAATATCTTCAATCTTCCCTGTCTTTGAACTGTGATAAGCCTTAAGAGCCTACGCCTTCCTCTTTTGTACTTGATTATATATTCTTTTGTGTGGGTGCATTAACTGTTTTATATGTGCTAAATCATGTCTCCAGAGAGCTTTTAGGTCCAAGGCAAAGAGATCAGGCCTTCTATTTCCCTTATGTCACATATAAAAAGGAGAGAAGGCCAAGAGAATAAAGGAGAGGAGAAGGGAAGAAAGGAAAACAGGAGAAAACAGGGGAAAAAAGTAATAAGAAGAAGACCCAAATGTGTGCATGTTGGACACCCATTATCCTCCAAGCATGGTGCTATGTGCTTTCATATAACGTATGCCACTTAATCCTGTTAAGAATACTGTAAAAAAAAAAAAAAAAGCACCTCTTCCCCTTTTGAAGATAAGGAAAGTGAAACACAAATTGGTTACCAGCTGAATGCCAGAAGCAGAACAAAACCCAGGTCTGTCCTTTGTGTTTACTTTTCCTTCTGAAGGAAGTTGCCTTGTCAAAACCCCTTCTCAGGGGACAGAAATGGACGGCCCTGTCTTATACCAACAGACTCTGACTCTCCCCCCATCCCTTGGGCACAAATGACCAAATAGGATTTCGGCATCTGAGGCATGTCTCTGTCCTATGTGAAAAGATTAAGCCATTCAGATTATTTTTATAATTTGACTTAGAAAATAACTGAGAGACTGAATGAGTTAGATGTAAGACACATGACCAAAAATAATAAGAAATTTCCTGTCAAGCCACAGGATAGAATATATTTACAATACTTATAACCGACAAATGACTTATATATGGATTATATAAATAGTTCACACATATCTATGAGGAAAAGGCAGACAACATTACAGAAAAATGGTCAAAAGGCTTGAACAGTTACCTCACAAAAAAAATATGCTATGTAGGGTGGCCATCTAACGTATCATCCAAACTGGGACCACTTTTGAAATGAAAAGGGCCCTACTTCTAATTTTATCAAGACAACAGAGTAAGCCAGGACTGACCCAAGCAAACTATGATGTATGGGTCATTCTACCCAAATAGCATCAAATATATGAAAAAATACTTGACTTCATAGGTCATTCAGGAAATGCAAATTAAAACTACAATGAGATACTTCCATACACCCATTAGAATAACTGAAAAGAAAAAGAATAATAGTACCAACAGTCAATTTTTTTTTTTAGAAGTAACCCTTTTTTAAAAAAATATTATTTATTTTATTTATTTATTTTTGGCTGTGTTGGGTCTTCGTTACTGCGCGTGGGCTTTCTCTAGTTGCGGTGAGCGGGGGCTACTGTTCGTTGCGGTGCGCGGGCTTCTCATTGCGGTGGCTTCTCTTGCTGCGGAGCATGGGCTCTAGGTGCACGGGCTTCAGTGGTTGTGGCGCACAGGCTCTAGAGGGCAGGCTCAGTAGTTGTGGCGCACGGACTTAGTTGCTCCGCGGCATGTGGGATCTTCCCGGACCAGGGCTCGAACCCATGTCCCCTGCATTGGCAGGCAGATTCTTAACCACTGCACCACCAGGGGAGCTGGGCATCTGGGGAGTTTATCTTCATCAAAAGCTTTTTCAGTGATATAAATGAAACCAAAAATAAACTGAACCAAGTGGATGATAAACTGAACCAAGTGGATGAACCAAGTGGATGATGAACCAAGTCATTCCAGTCCATGACTTGACCTGGAAACCAAGTCATGTCTTCCAGGACAAGGACTAGAAGACTTTCAAAATGTAGTGCAAATAGAGAAGTATCCTCTTGGTTCAAACCCATCATCTTTCCTGGTTGTATAAACCATGAGTGGTACCGAAATAACAGGTCTTATGGCATTTCATGTTGACACATTTATTGAGCTGTACAATGTGCCAGATGCTAAGCATGGGGTGATGGAGCTGAACGTAACATGACTTCTCCTTTTGGCCTCTTAGCTTTTGTCTGTTTTGTTTGACACTGAATCTCCAGCACCTGGAATAGCATTTAGCACATAACAGCACATTCATTTATGGAATGAATCAGTGAATGAGTAGGTACAATAGATATACAAACAAGCACCATGCAATGGAACATAGTAGCTGTATAACAGGCTTCAGTGATGCAGGGGAAGTAGTTATTTCTCCAGTAGTGGTGAGGAAAAGCTACACAGAAAGGACTATTAGGTTGAGCCCTAAAGAAATTTCTCTGATTTATGGAGAGACAATGGAACACATCACAAGCAGGGAGAACACCGTAGGGAAATTTGGGGTATGTATGTGTGTGCATAGTTTGTTCAATTCTTCTTTTCCACAATCCAATCAATGAAAAGTGAGGAGATGCGATGGTTCACAGACCACAAAGTACATACTCCAGTGGTCTCCTAAATCAGCTGGTCAACTCTGTCCACACAAAATAAAGAGGGATAAAGAGTTACCCAGATCATATACGCTACTAGAAAAAATAAAAGAATATTTGAGGATTTAGTTCTCCAGCTTAGTAATCTTCCATGGTGGTTTTCAAATTGAATTTCATATAGCCCTAGGGTATATCTAAGAGGTACAGCTTCATAAACCACCCTGGAGTGAGAGTTGGAGGAAAAGCAGACAAGGCCCCAGGGCCTCCACCCCTGATTTAACAGCAACAACTCCTCTTTTATCTGCTTTCTGTGAGATTTTACTGGGAAAGACATTCTCTTTATAACTAGGTAGTTATTCTACATTTTTAAAAAATAAAGTTTTAAACAGCTGACCTATAAAGTGAAAACTCGCAGAATAATTGTACATCCACTTACTATACTTTCTGTAGACACAATTTAATCACTGTAAGTAAAAAGAGAACTCAATGGGTTTTTATTTCTTTGAAATTATGATCTACCCTGACATTCCTAGTCTACAAGGGAGTAATATCTAGTTGTGATTTTTAGCACCATAAAAGAGAAGGCATCTGTCACAATTGTCTCAAAGATGAAAGAGTTGTCAAAGTACTAATTTTGATCACCTCTCCCCATTCTCATATCCTGTACCATGTTATTTTTTTGGTATACTTTGCACTGGGAACTTCGAGCCCTTTCAAACCTGTCTCTTGGTTGCCATGCTGTTTTGGTGGCTGGGTGTGAGAAATAAAATATTATCTCACGCTCCTCTCTTAGATTTTTCCCCATTTAGTCTTAGTTCGTGACTTTATTTGCATGCATTTACATTCTTCATTTCATTTATAAAATAAGTCAAGGGATTTTATAGGCCTGTTTAATGTGCTAACATACAGGATGCCCATGCCACTTCCAGATAATTTATATATTCAAATGATTCATTTCCTTCGTTCTTTCCTCCAACTCTCCTAAGTGTCACTATTCCTCTTTTAGCAGATGGAATATTATAATTTTTAACAAAGCAATTTTATAAGTTCCTGAAGCAATAGATGTATGTGTGTATACATAATTGAAACTGACCAAATACATATATATAAATATATGTGTATATAAAATTTGACTATTTATATCACCCGTATATAAAAGATAGCAACAGCCAATTTCTGCTCCTGCACTAGCCCTGCGTCCTTGGCCTCCTCGATTATAACATAGGAGTAACTGTATCTAGAATTTATATAGAGATGCATCATATGTATACAATAGCCATGCTGTAATTGATCTTTATTTCCTGCTATTGTTCTTTCATGGTTTTGACCATAAACTAAGGAAACTGATTTTAAATGTGGTCAGAAGTGTTACGTTTAGATGAGCACTGTTTTTCCATGTGACTACCCTAGGAAACAGAAATGTATTTCAACAATCTTTGTTTATTCAACAAAAATACATTGGCTACCGCTACCCATCAAGGAGGCACTGAGCTTGGGATTAAGACTGAAATACACAAGATCCACTCTTTCTTGCCATTTATATCCTAAAGGAGACAAATATTAATCAGAAAAATCACACCACTGGATGTACAATTACAATACTGGCATGAGCTAAGGGTGAGACAGAAAGGTCCCATTAGGGCCTATGAGAAGGAGCTGATCCAGCCTGAAGGGATCGGGAAAGACATTTCTAAGGAAGGACCTCTTGAGTTAGGATATGAAGGATGAGTGGCGAAGTAGGCACAGTGGGTTGGGGGAGAAAGACCAGAAATCAATGAGATCAGCAAGAGGAAAGCCCCCAGGAAGGGATAGACCATGGGGAGTATGAAGAACAGAAGAAAGACCATGAGTCAGGAGCACAGATGGAGAGATGAGAGTGAAAAGAGACTATTGGCCAACAGTGACCACACATCTCTAGATGCCAGGCAGTACTCTCAGCACTCTACCTGAACTAACTCATTCGATCTTCACAACAGCCCTACAAGGTAAGCACTACAAGGTAAGGTGGAAGCTGTGGGGCAAGTACCATACTACCTCGCGAATGTTACTGAATACTGAAGAGTAGAGGATAGAAGAGTTCATTTATTTAACAAATATTTATTGAAGGCTAATTGCATCTCAGGCACTCTTCTAGGCACTGCTTTATGTGGGCAAAAAGAAAAGAAAAGCAGGAGAGAAGAGAAAAATCCATAGGAATCATGGAAGCTTTCCAGAGGTACTGGGGCCAATAGTGTAATTCTGTTCTGCTAATGGAGTGTGAGGGGTCGACTGGCCAGTTGGCAAAGACAGATCTATGTCATTTTCCATTGGTAGATATTCATGGCCATATCTCTCCTCTTCCTAAAATGAAAAGCAAAATTGATTCAAGGCATTTGCTTGTAGCTGCAGAAAGCTTTAGGGAGCAAACCAGTCCAGCCGGTCACCTGGCCCTTCCAACCATTCCTTTCAGCAACTTTTGGAACTTCTGATGACAGGTTGAATGTGTTCTCCTCAAGTCCCTGAAGCATAGAACCACCTTGTGTGTTCTACCATATTCTCCTCTTTGGTTGCCCCTGTGGTCTTGCTGAAATCACACCTACTCACAATGCAATTCTGCACACCAGCCCAAAGGAGATATTTCTGGTCTCCTTCCACTTTCACATGGCACATGTTCTCAACTCAGTCCCAGGAAACAGTCTGGAAAATTTGTAACAGAAGAAAAAGAGGTGGTTGGAACCCCAGATCTACTGCATCCTTTATCATGTGTCACAGCCAGGACCAGGTATTTTTCTATAAACTAGGTTCATTCCTCCTATTCCTCCATAATTGCACCCTCAACTCTGTTCTATTTGTAAAGATCTTATTTGGTTCAACTGGGTCAAGACTAGAAGGGGACCAAGCCGTGTGAAATAGAGGAAGAGCATGGGCTTTGGACTTATACATGAACCCTCATGGTTACTAGAGTCAGATTACCTGTCTCGAATTCTAGCTCCACCACATGGCAGTTCCTAGAGCAATTTACTTAACTTCTCTATGCCTCAGTTTCTTCATCTATAAAACGGGGCAATATTCTTAACTCCAGTTTCATAGGGTTACTGTGAGGATTATATTAGATATAGATATATGTAATAGATCTATTATATTCATAATATACCCATTTATATATAATATATAAATAAATACTATACATAAAATAAATACATATAATGCACTTAAAGCAGTGTCTAAAATTAGATGTTATTCTTACCAGATGTCCTAATTATCTATTGCTGCATTAAAAAAACCACCGCAAAATTGAATGTTGTAAAGCAAGAGCCATTTTATTAGGCTCACAGCAGAGATAGTGCATAAACTAGAGTGGCTTGAATGTCTGGAAGGAGCTGAGACAGCATTACTGAGGCTCTGTCTGGTGTCTCCATTCTATCACTTGGATTCCTTAGTTATTCTCCCCAGGGTGCCTCCTAGACCTGGAATGTCCAAGATAACTTACTCATATATCTTGCAATTGTGTTGGAATGCTGGAACAGCTGGGGCTGCGAGGACATCTCTCTATCTATCTCCATGTAGCTAACTTAGACTTCCTTGAGGCATGGTAGAATCAGGGTAATCAGACTTCTTACCTGGCAGCTGGCTTCCCAAGAGTGAGCATTCCAAAAGAACCATAAGGCTCCTTATGAACTAGCCTCCGAAGTCATACACGCATCCCTTCTGCCACATTCTATTGGTCAGCCACGATTCAAGGCATAAAGATGACACAGAACATAAATACCGGGAGACATGACTCATTGAAGTGCCATCTTTGGAGACTAGGTATCAGTTTTCCCTTTGGCCTGCAATGATCCACATCCTTCCCACATGCAAAATAAATTCACCCAAAGAGGGCAGCAACAATATCTCTCATCCCACACGCTCTTCGATATTACCTTAACAGTCCCCCGCTAAGATGGAGAGTACATTTCTCTACCCCCTTGGATCTGAGAGAGGCTATGACAGCTTTGACTACTAGGATACAGTGGAAATGATGTTGTTCCAGTCCCATTTGTAGCCCTAACTGACCTAGGAGCTTCTTCTTTCTTTCATCTTGGAAGCTAGTCATCACTTAAGAAGGGTAACTACCTTGAATTCACTGTGCTGTGAAAAGTACAAGCCAAAGGTCCTGAAGGATGAGATGTGATGTAGGAGGAGAAAAGGACCAAAGAACACCAAGGCACCAGGCACATGGCTAAAAAAGACATCTTGGACATCTAGCCCAGTTGATCCTTCAGATGCCTCCAGCCCCAAGTGCCGTCTGGCTGGAACCGTGTGAGAGACTCCAGGTAAGAACCACCCAGCTTAACCCAGTCAACCCCTAGAACTCTGATATGTAATAATAAATTGCTCTTTTAAGCCCCTAAGTTTTAGGTGGTTTGTTAGCAGTAAGAGATAACTAAGAATGCTTGCTAATCTTGGTCATGCCTCTTAATCTGTCTGAGCCTCAGCTTCTCCAGCTGTCACAGAGAAGACACAAAATATTCATTCCTTTGCCATCTTTTATCCCAGGATGTGGCAGGGATTTTAGAGTTGTTTTGCCATTCTTACGCAACATCTTCAGAGGGAGGATGTTCTTCCTCTTGGTTTGACAGAGAAATAAGAAAGCAGAAGAATGCATTATTGAAGCACCAGAGTATTTCCCACCTCTTCTTTCCTAACATCAGCCTGAGTATCTCCTGTGCTGTCACCTCTATATAAAGAGGAGACCAGCTGCCTGAGCTCCAGCCAGCCTTTCATCCTAATGGAGATCTCAGAAGGAAAGACACATTGCACTCAAAAACCCTCCCTGGAATCATGTACCTTTCACACCTCTGGTCTTTGGATATTTGTGTGCTTTTTAAATGGATAATTTTTTCCCAAACCACAGTCAGTGTGAATACCAAAAAGAAAATTACAGACTATTTTGGAAATCCAAAAACTATGCATATCTAGGACTGTGACCATTATAGACACCTAGTATGCAATGAATTATAAATGGATACAGAAAAGGAGGATGCCTTGTTTCATTTTTATTGTCTTTATATTTCAAAAATCTCTATTTCTCAAAGAATGTTTGTGTAAACATATCACAGTCACCAGGGTGCTTGTTAAAAATGCAGATTCCAGACACATATTGAATCAGATTCTTTTGGAATAGAAGCTGGGAATTTGTATTTTGAACAAGAACACATAGTGATTACTAAGAACACTAAAATTGAAGAACCACACTCCTAAGTTCCCATGTTTCTTTCCATACTTGATTTGGGAGCAATTTAAATGGCTAAGACAGAAGAACAAAGAGACCCAAGCAAAAGGAGCTTCAAGACGGCGGAAGAGTAAGACACGGAGATCACCTTCCTCCCCACAGATACACCAGAAATACATCTACACGTGGAATAACTCCTACAGAACACCTACTGAATGCTGGCAGAAGACCTCAGACCTCCCAAAAGGTAAGAAACCCCCCACGTACCTGGGTAGGGCAAAAGAAAAAAGAATAAACAGAGACAAAAGAATAGGGATGGGGCCTGCACCAGTGGGAGGCAGCTGTGAAGGAGGAAAGGTTTCCACACACTAGGAAGCCCCTTTGTGGGCGGAGACTGCGGGTGGCGGAGGAGGGAAGCTTCGGAGCCGCGGAGGAGAGTGCAGCAACAGGAGTGCAGAGAGCAAAATGGAGAGGCTCCCGCACAGAGGATCGGTGCCGACCAGCACTCACCAGCCCGAGAGGCTTGTCTGCTCCCCCGCCAGGGTGTGCGGGGCTGGGAGCTGAGGCTCAGGCTTCAGAGGTCGGATCGCAGGGAGAGGACTGGGGTTGGTGGCGTGAACACAGCCTGCAGGTGGTTAGTGCACCACGGCTGGCTGGGAGGGAGTCCTGGAAAAGTCTGCAGCTGCCAAAGAGGCAAGAGACTTTTTCTTCCCTCTTTGTTTCCTGGTGCGTGAGGAGAGGGGATTAAGAGCACTGCTTAAAGGAGCTCCAGAGACGGGCGCAAGCAGCGGCTAAAAGCACAGACCCCAGAGACGGGCATGAGACGCTAAGGCTGCTGCTGCCACCACCAAGAAGCCTGTTTGCGAGCACAGGTCACTATCCACACCCCCCTTCCGGGGATCCTGTGCAGCCCGCCACTGCCAGGGTCCCGGGATACAGAGACAACTTCCCCGGGAGAACGCACGGCGCGCCGCAGGCTGATGCAACGTCATGCCAGCCTCTGCCGCCGCCGCAGGCTCACCCCACATCCGCAACCCTCCCTCCACCTGGCCTGGGTGAGCCAGAGCCCCCGAAACCTGCAGCCTGTGAAAAGGAGACCCCAAACACAGTAAGATAAGCAAAATGAGAAGACAGAGAAACACACAGCAGATGAAGGAGCAAGGTAAAAACCCACCAGACCTAACAAATGAAGAGGAAATAGGCAGTCTACCTGAAAAAGAATTCAGAAAAATGATAGTAAAGATGATCCAAAATCTTGGAAATAGAATGGAGAAAATACAAGAAACGTTTAACAAGGACCTAGAAGAACTTAAGAGCAAACAAACAGTGATGAACAACACAATAAATGAAACTAAAAAATTCTCTAGAAGGGATCAATAGCAGAATAACTGAGGCAGAGGAACGGATAAGTGACCTGGAAGATAAAACAGTGGAAATAACTACTGCAGAGCAGAATAAAGAAAACAGAATGAAAAGAATTGAGGACATTCTCAGAGACCTCTGGGACAACATTAAACACACCAACATTCGAATTATGGGGTCCCAGAAGAAGAAGAGAAAAAGAAAGGGACTGAGAAAATATTTGAAGAGATTATAGTTGAGAACTTCTCTAATATGGGAGAGGAAAAAGTTAATCAAGTCCAGGAAACACAAAGAGTCCCATACAGGATAAATCCAAGGAGAAACACGCCAAGACGCATATTAATCAAACTATCAAAAATTAAATACAAAGAAAAAATATTAAAAGCAGCAAGGGAAAAACAACAAATAACACACAAGGGAATACCCATAAGGTTAACAGCTGATCTTTCAGCAGAAACTCTGCAAGCCAGAAAGGAGTGGCAGGACATATTTAAAGTGATGAAGGAGAAAAACCTACTACCAAGATTACTCAACCCAAAAAGGATCTCATTCAGATTTGATGGAGAAATTAAAACCTTTATAGACAATCAAAAGCTAAGAGAATTCAGCACCACCAAACCAGATTTACAACAAATGCTAAAGGAACTTCTCTAGGCAGGAAACACAAGAGAAGGAAAACACCTACAATAACAAACCCAAAACAATTAAGAAAATGGTAATAGGAACATACATATCAATAATTACCGTAAATGTAAATGGATTAAATGCTCCACCCAAAAGATATAGATTGGCTGAATAAATACAAAAACAATACCCATATATATACTGTCTACAAAAGACCCACTTCACACCTAGGGACACATACAGACTGAAAGTGAGGGTATGGAAAAAGATATTCCATGAAAATGGAAATCAAAAGAAAGCTGGAGTAGCAATTCTCACATCAGACAAAATAGACTTTAAAGCAAAGACTATTATAAGAGACAAAGAAGGGCACTACATAATGATCAAGGGATCAATCCAAGAAGATAGAACAATTGTAAATATTTATGCACCCAACATAGGAGCACCTCAATACATAAGGCAAATACTAACAGCCATAAAAGGGGAAATCGACAGGAACACAATCATAGTAGGGGACTATAACACCCCACTTTCACCAATGGACAGATCATCCAAAATGAAAATAGATAAGGAAACACAAGCTTTAAATGATACATTAAACAAGATGGACTTAATGGATATTTATCGGACATTCCATCCAAAAAAACAGATTACACATTCTTTTCAAGTGCTCATGGAACATTCTCCAGGATAGATCATATCTTGGGTCACAAATCAAGCCTTGGTAAATTTTAAAAATTGAAATCGTATCCAGTATCTTTTTCAACCACAAAGCTATGAGACTAGATATCAATTACAGGAAAAAAAACCTGTAAAAAATACAAACACATGGAGGCTAAACAACACACTACTTAATAACCAAGAGATCACTGAAGAAATCAAAGAGGAAATCAAAAAATACCTAGAAACAAATGACAATGAAAACACGACAACCCAAAACCTATGGGATACAACAAAAGCAGTTCTAAGATGGAAGTTTATAGCAATACAATCCTACCTCAAGAAACAAGAAACATCTTAAATAAACAACCTAACCTTACACCTAAAGCAATTAGAGAAAGAACAAAAAAACCCCAAAGTTAGCAGAAGGAAAGAAATCATAAAGATCAGATCAGAAATAAATGAAAAAGAAATGAAGGAAATGATAGCAAAGATCAATAAAACTAAAAGCTGGTTCTTTGAGAAAATAAACAAAATTGATGAACCGTTAGCCAGATTCATCAAGAAAAAAAGGGAGAAGACTCAAATCAATAGAATTAGAAATGAAAAAGGAGAAGTAACAACTGACACTGCAGAAACACAAAGGATCATGAGAGATTACTACAAGCAACTCTATGCCAATAAAATGGACAACCTGGAAGAAATGGACAAATTCTTAGAAATGCACAACCTTCCAAGACTGAACCAGGAAGAAATAGAAAATATGAACAGACCAATCACAAGCAATGAAATTGAAACTGTGATTAAAAATCTTCCAACAAACAAAAGCCCAGGACCAGATGGCTTCACAGGTGAATTCTGTCAAACATTTAGAGAAGAGCTAACACCTATCCTTCTCAAACTCCTCCAAAATAGAGCAGAAGGAGGAACACTCCCAAACTCATTCTACGAGGCCACCATCACCCTGATACCAAAACCAGACAAAGATGCCACAAAGAAAGAAAACTACAGGCCAATATCACTGTTAAACATAGATGCAAAAATCCTCAACACAATACCAGCAAACAGGATCCAACAGCACATTAAAAGGATCATATACCATGATCAAGTGGGGTTTATCCCAGGAATGCAAGGATTCTTCAATATACGCAAATAGAACAATGTGATACACCATATTTAAAAAATGAAGGAGAAAAACCATATGAACATCTCAATAGATGCCAAAAAATCTTTCGACAAAATTCAACACCCATTTATGATAAAAACCTTCCAGACAGTAGGCATAGAGGGAACTTTCCTCAATATAATAAAGGCCATATATGACAAACCCACAGCCAACATCGTCCTCAATGGTGAAAAACTGAAACCATTTCCACTAGGGTCAGGAAGAAGACAAGGTTGCCCACTCTCACCACTATATTCAACATAGTTTTGGAAGTTTTAGCCACAGCAATCAGAGAAGAAAAGGAAATAAAAGGAATCCAAATTGGAAAAGAAGAATTAAGACTGTCACTGTTTGCAGATGACATGATACTAAACATAGAGAATCCTAAAGATGCTACCAGAGAACTACTAGAGCTAATCAGTGAATTTGGTAAAGTACCAGGATACAAAATTAATGCACAGAAATCTCTTGCATTCCTATACACGAATGATGAAAAATCTGAAAGTGAAATTAAGAAAACACTCCCATTTACCACTGCAACAAAAAGAATAAAATATCTAGGAATGAACCTACCTAAGGAGACAAAAGACCTGTATGCAGAAGACTATAAGACACTGATGAAAGAAATTAAAGATGATACAAATAAATGGAGAGATATACCATGTTCTTGGATTGGAAGAATCAACATTGCAAAAATGACTCTGTTACCCAAAGCAATCTACAGATTCAATGCAATCCCTATCAAACTACCAATGGCATTTTTCACAGAACTAGAACAAAAAAATTCACAATTTGTTTGGAAGCACAAAAGACCCTGAATAGCCAAAGCAATCTTGAGAAAGAAAAACGGAGGCTGGGGGAATCAGGCTCCCTGACTTCAGACTATACTACAAAGCTACAAGACAGTATGGTAATCAAGACAGTATGGTACTGGCACAAAAACAGAAATATAGATCAATGGAACAGGTTAGAAAGCCCAGAGATAAACTCACGCACATATGGTCACCTTATCTTTGATAAACGAGGGAAGAATATACAGTGGAGAAAAGACAGTCTCTTCAATAAGTGGTGCTGGGAAAACTGGACAGCTACATGTAAAAGAATGAAATTAGAACACTCCCTAACACCACACACAAAAATAAACTCAAAATGGATTAAATGTAAGGCCAGGCACTATAAAACTCTTAGAGGAAAACATAGGCAGAACACTCTATGATGTAAATAACAGCAACATCCTTTTTGACCCACCTCCTAGAAAAATGGAAATAAAAACAAAAATAAACAAATGGGACCTAATGAAACTTAAAAGCTTTTGCACAGCAAAGGAAACCATAAATAAGATGAAAAGATAACCCTCAGAATGGAAGAAAATATTTGCAAATGAAGCAACTGACAAAAGATTAATCTCCAAAATTTACAAGCAGTTCATGCAGCTCAATATCAAAAAAAAAAAAAAACCCAATCCAAAAATGGGCAGAAGACCTAAATAGACATTTCTCCAAAGAAGTTATACAGATTGCCAACAAACACATGGAAGAATGTTCAACATCATTAATCTTTGGAGAAATGCAAATCAAAACTACAATGAGATATCATCTCACACCAGTCAGAATGGCCATCATCAAAAAATATACAAACAATAAATGCTGGAGAGGATGTGGAGAAAAGGAAACCCTCTTGCACTGTTGGTGGGAATGTAAATTGATACAGCCACTATGGAGAACAGTATGGAGGTTCCTTAAAAAGCTAAAAATAGAACTACCATACAACCCAGCAATTCCACTACTGGGCATATACTCTGAGAAAACCATAATTCAAAAAGAGTCATGTACCAAAATGTTCATTGCAGTTCTATTTACAATATCCTGGACATGGAAGCAACCTAAGTGTCCATTGACAGATGAATGGATAAAGAAGATGTGGCACATATATACAATGGAATATTACTCAGCCATAAAAAGAAACGAAAGTGAGTTATTTGTAGTGAGGTGGATGGACCTAGAGTCTGTCATACAGAGTGAAGTAAGTCAGAAAGAGAAAAACAAGTACCGTATGCTAACACATATATATGGAATCTAAAAAAAAAAAAATGGTCATGAAGAACCTAGGGGCAAGACGGGAATAAAGAGGCAGACACACTAAAAAATGGACTTGAGGATACGGGGAGGGGGAAGGGTAAACTGGGACAAAGTGAAAGAGTGGCATGGACGTATATACACTACCAAATGTAAAATAGATAGCTAGTGGGAAACAGCCGCATCGCACAGGGAGATCAGCTCGGTGCTTTGTGACCACCTAGAGGGGTGGGATAGGGAGGGTGCGAGGGAGGGAGATGCAAGAGGGAAGAGATATGGGGACACATGTATATATATGTATATATAACAGATTCACTTTGTTATAAAGCAGAAACTAACACACCATTTTAAAGCAATTATACTCCAATAAAGATGTAAAAAAAAAAAAAAGAGAGAGACCCCAGCAAAATTTATAAATTCTGGTGCCTTGCATACCTCTTTACAGAATTAATCATGTCTACTTACTTCTGGTCTTAAGGGTATAAGCACTACAGATGTTTCACTGATTTTTTTTGCTTAATCTATCCAAATGTAAAACAAAAATGAGAATACCTTATAATTTCCAAGGCTTCAGTAGTGTTAATTTAAAGTCATGGAGAGAATGTAATGGTAAAGAGTAATTACTTCCTTTCCAGGTAAAACAGCATGAGAACTCCTTTGAGTTGACCAGATTCTCTAAGTGAAAGAGCATAAGATTTAGAGGACAAGCTTGAGTAAATCAATTAACCCCATTTTCCTCATCTGTTAAGGGAATATCTATAAGGGATTACATAGGGTCTCCATATGGCACAACTCAATTGTAGTCTATGTGCAGTGTACAACTTGAACATCTGTACATAGAAGTCCTATAAGTGAGCAATGAAGACTTGCCATATACTGTAGGGATAGTACAGGATTCTTACATGAAGTGGTGATAGGATGGAAAAATAAAGCTTTATTTGGATCTATAAAGCAGGAACCTGAGAAAGAGAATGTGTAGATATAAAATTGTTTGATTGAAGCTATTGCTCAGATTCAATAAGATAGTTGATCAGCCCAAAAATATACATGTGTGCACAATTCAGACATCCACAAACACACACATTGTAGAGGACACTTAAGGTTCCCTGCCCGTATTTTGATTATATTCTCTTTTCTTCTGGAAAATTCCTGATTTCCATTTGTGGACAGAGCTACTGTTCCTCCATCTCAGGATATGTGGTATTGTAGGGCTCCTTATTCAGCTACAAGGATGGAAAACATAACCCATGCCTTTATAAACGTAAAACATAACCCAATCAGCACACAACCTTTCCTTGGGGATAAGAGGGGTATATGACCCAAGCTGGGCCAGTCAGAGTCGATCTCAGAACTCATACAAGTGCTCCTGGCTAAGGCTCTGGCTCTCCTCTGCTAGACTTGAACTGAAATGGGATGAGGCAGAGGTTGTCGCTGCCATTAGATACTAGGAAAGGTGAGCCAGGGACTACTCAGGAATAAGGGGAGCAACTCAGCAGACTTTTCAGCTACATAAACCTGTCAATGCCCCTTTATGTTTTTGCTTCGGCCAGCGTGAATGATTTTACCATCACAAAATGAATACTATGCACAGCAAACAGATCCACTGTTTGACTGACACATACCAGGGTTTTACTTTGTCTGCTGTTTGCCTCTCTGTTAGTTTTTATTACACTGATACATCAAGTTTAATGACAGTGACTATCTAATTTATCTTCCAAACCAGGACATTTTGGAGAGTGAAAGGGACACTCTTTATGATTATGTCAGGACAAAAGCATAGTCCAAGACAAACCAGGATATATGATCATCCTAATTTTGACCGAACGGTCAGATTGCTGATAATTTGAAGATACAACCAGAGTGAAATTTTTTAAAGTGGTTTGCTTTACAACGCATGGCATTCCTGACACTTAGAACAATGTCCAGCACAAAGTCAATACTCAATATTTATTTAATGAGTAAAGTATTTCAAAAACATTTCAGTATATTCATTCATGTATTTCTTCAACAAATACTTGACTAAACTTTACATGCTATCATTGTTCTAGGTACTGAAGATACAGATGTGAGCAAGATAGATAAGGACCCTACCCTCCTGGAGTTTTTATTCTTGGGGAGAGAGACCAGGCAATACACAAGTAAGTAAACAAGTACTTTCTGGTATGGGGTATGTGCCATGGGAGAAATGAAACAAGAGTGGCATCTGGGGAAAGAGAGACATTTTCAGGTATTATGATCAGGAGTATCTCTCTGAAAGTTGACGTTTGAACTGAAACCAAGCCAAAGGCAAAGAGTGAGAGGATCTTCCTACAGCAAAAATCATTTCTCTCTCTGCTATTTTGCACCACTCTCCAGCTCACAAGTCACAGCATGACCCACAAGATCATGCAGTGCTCAGTACTCTAGGAGGTGCCAAACTGGTTGAGGAGGAAAAGCATAGACCCAGACACAGAGTGAGTGCCATAAGCATCTCAAGGTGGGAGAATTTAGAGCATCCTAGAATTGAGGGTGGGCATGGGGAGGGACTTCATCTAGGAGGAAGTGAGATTTAGGTTTAGGGAGTAGAGAAGTGGTTCAAGGCTCTGGGATCAGGCTCAGGGATCAGGTCCTAAGTTTGAATCCTGACTCTTCTGTTTATCGGCTTTGTGACCTTGAGCAGATAATCTGTGGGAGATTCACTATCTCATCTCTAAGACTAGGATAGTAATAATAGTATCCTAATATGTACTCAGGACTTAGCACAACATCTGATAAACAGTAAGTGTTCAGTGAATAGTAGCTATTATTATTAAATAGTGATGAGAAAATAACAATTTAAATATGTTCGAGAATACAAAAAGAAATAAGATGCTGGCCTTTCCCTTCAGGAATCTCATTATGTACTCACAGTAATGGAAGTTCTCAAAGCTCATACTGAATGTCAGATCTCTGAAGGCTTAATGGAGGTGTTCTGCCATGAAACCAAATAATGGTAATTTTTTCCAATTATCAGGAAAAAAATTAGTTTAGAATCACATTTTTTCCAATTTCAAGCTTTCTTCCCAGATATTTTTCTTAAACGTTGGACATCTGCTACCTAAAGTACTGGCAGATGAAAAAATAAGTGAACAAGCAGCAGACAAATATTAGCAGAACAACTCAGAAACAGCCAATCACATTTAGACCAACAGCTTGTTCCTTTCATGGACATGTGTACTCAAGGTGGTGGTTTTTAAATCATGCGCAGATTGTCATATTGTCTGGAAGTAGAACTGTTCCTATTACATATACCAGCATTAAATATATCAATAAGTATTTCATGACATTCTTCAAAGAGTGCCATGCTTTCCAGATGCTCTATCTCCTAAACAAGTTTGAGAATCACTCTATAGAAAAGTTCAAAGCCCTTGAAAGAAGGTTTCTAATTTATTCTCCCACTCTCCTAAAAGCTGGGAATATGGCAGAGGTGTAAGAGTGACCAAAAAAAAAAAAAAAAAAGTAAAAGAAAGAGACTAGGATACTGTTATCTTCTTGAAGAAGAAAGAAAGACCCAGGAGATGGTTGTTGATTTACCCAAGGTCACTCAGTAAGTTTACAAAGGAAGTAAAACCAAGAATGGCATCTCAGGGAGGAATAGTTCATACAAGTCTCTGTTATGTGCATAAAAATCACTGAGCCTCCCAAGAGCAATGATAATGAACAGTGTGATTTAGGAATTCTGACTTCAACATATATTGACGTTTTTAGTCCCAGAGGCACAGTAACTAAAGTGATCTCAAAGCAGTGGTTAGAAAGTGTCTGGTTCTTTTAATGAGTGACACCCCAGATGACCACTAATCCCCCCGTTGCACTCTGCATATCCATCTAGGCCACCGTGTCTTTGATTACACTAGAGAGTCCTCTCCATCAGTTATAACTAGTGCCAAGCTCAAATGCTGCTTATTCCATGAAGTCTATGGTTGGAAGCTCTCCCTGCTCCAAACGTCTTTAGTGATGGCTTTTACCAGTTTTCTAATAAGAGTCACATGAGAAATACCTTTATATGCCTACATTCACTTTTTGTTGCTGCTATTAAAAACTACCACAAGTTTAGTGGCTTAAAATAGCACAAAGTTATTGTCTTACAGTTCTGGAGGGTTAGAAGCCCTCCAGACGGGTTTCCCTGCGTCAAAATCAAGGTGTCAACGGGCTGTGTTTTTTCTGGAAGCTCTGGGAAAGATTCCACTTCCTTGACTTTTCCGTCTTCTAGAGGCTGCCTGCATTCCTTAGCTCATGGATCCTTTCCTCCACCTTCAAAGTCAGCCATGTTGCATCTCTCTGACTCTGCTTCCAACATCACATCTCCTTTTCTGATTAAAGCTAGAAAATGGTCTCATGTTTTTAAAGACCCAGGTAATTATATTGGGCTTACCAGGATAATTCAGGGTAATATCTCAGCCTCAATGCCTTTAATTTAGTCACCTTTTCAACATCCTCTCACATATAAAGAAACATATTCACCAGTTCTGAGACTAGGGGTGTGAACATCTTTGAGGAGCCATTATTCAACCTACCACAGTACTCTGCCTTTAGCCCAAAAGATTCATGTCCGTGCCACATGCAAAGTACATTTACTTCATCCCAAATTCTCCAAAAGCCTCAACACATTACAGGATCAACTCAAAGTTTAAAACCTCATATAAATCAAATCAGCTCAAAGGTCCCAAATCTCAGTATCTAAATTATGTAAATTAGGCAAGGGTGAGATTCTGAGTATAATTCATCCTAGGGCGTAATTCCTCTCCATCTGCCGACCTGTGAAACTCAAGAAATAAGTTATCTACTCTCAAAGGCAATGCTGGGACTGACATCAAATGACAGTTATAGGCATTCTTGTTCAAAAAGGGAAGAAATTGAAAGGCAAAAAATAGTCAAGCAATTTTGAAATCCAGGCAGGAAGGTTCCATTAGGTTTCAAGGCCTGTGAATAGTTTTCTGAGGCATGTGGCTCCTCCCTCTGGGCTCAAGGCTCCCTCCTCTGGACCCATAGCTCTACCCTCTGAACATGAGGTTCTATCCCCTGAGTTTCCTTACTTTTTCATGAAAGGTAGCACTTGCTTGCAGCCGAGTAGTTTTATCAGCTTGTTTCCTGCCAGTAGACTGTAGAAGGCTGACAGCTTTCTTTCATTTAGTACTCTCTTTCAGTCGAAGCTGACAGTGTTTATGATGATATAAAATTCTCAGGAACTTTGTAGGTCTTCTGTGTATGTCATGGGGATTCACACACAAGTCCCATCTGTTCTCAGGTCCTCTGAAACCTAGCCAAGTTCTAATCCCCTCCTTCTATTCCAATAAAAACAGATTCAGCCCAGGGATGGGGCTCAAAGTCCCCTCAGGGGCTTCCCTGGTGGTGCAGTGGTTGAGAGTCCGCCTGCCGATGCAGGGGACGCGGGTTTGTGCCCCGGTCAGGGAGGATCCCACATGCCACGGAGCGGCTGGGCCCGTGAGCCATGGCCACTGAGCCTGCGCGTCCGGAGCCTGTGCTCCGCGACGGGAGAGGCCGCGGCAGTGAGAGGCCCGCGTACCGCAAAAAAAAAAAAAAAAAGTCCCCTCAGGAGTATCTACCATTGTCCAAATCTTTTGTTTTCCTTTGGGATATGTATTATGGCAGGGGAGAAAAACTATTTTTATACCAACCTTCATTCATAACCTACTGTTACCTATGGAATAAAAATTTATACTTCATGAGTCCTCGGAGCTCTTTGACTTTTGATACTCAAAGCCAGGGTTTTAGCCTGGAAGAAAACTGCTGCTCTCTCCAAAAGCATGGCCCCTGCAACTAAAAGCCTTGGTCATGTGTGTTTAAAAGTCCATTTAGCTGCTCACCTGACTTTATCATTCCCGTCAGTGTATTTAGAGAGTTCTCATTGACTCCTGCATGGAAGAAAAATACTGAACAAAGAGAGCCCAGCCAAATGATTATTACATCTGTTAATAGTCATATTATACACTGAAATATGTTACATGGTTCAATTCTTTTGATGATTCTCAAGGGATTACTATTCCTGGTTTCTCATTGAAGAAATAGATACACACAGCATGAACTATTTGCCTACGTCACACTGCTTAAAAGTGTCGAAGTGTATATTCAAAACTCAGCCTGTCTAACTTCAAAATGGAGCTAGACAAGCAATTCTTACAAATGTCCGAGGCACATAATCCTGCCAGCCTTCAATCTCCACATTTGTCAAATGGAAATATTGTTTATAATTCCTCATCCACAATTCCAGAATCTAAAAAGCTTTAAAAACTAAAAGTATTGTTGGTATTGTTCACAAGTTTGGGGCCAAAATAAGACCTGAACTGCCATTTGATGCCAGTTTTGTCTCCGTGCTTCTATCACTTACATACACCTCTGCTGCTAGCTGACGTTTTTGTTGCATTTTGTGTGTGTGTGTGTGTGTGTGTGTGTGTGTGTGTGCTCGCACATGCATGAGCAGTCTCTTTGCTGTGAGTCATGGAGCGACCATCGCATGTAATATAATTCAATAACTCTTTGTGAACAGTGAGAAACAGTGATTTTACCCTGAAGATTTTTCACTCAGAATTCAACTAATTGACTGTGATAATTAGCAGAAATGTAGCTCTCTATTGCTCACCTGGAAGCAGAATAACTAGAATATTATAGGCAGGTACTCCTGCCAATGCCACACACATGCAAGTCCAGCAGTCATCTTTATTAGCACGCGGTTTCTATCAGCTATATGAAAGCCATAATTTTTTTAAGCCTCACTTTGGTTTCACTGAACCTTCCTATGAGCCTCCTGGGTTAAGCCCTAACTGCTGCAAAGAGGCCCAAGACAAGAAACTGAGGAGACCCCAGGAGAGCAGGGTCTCAATCTATTTTTTAAACCATGCCCTCTTTGTATAAAAAGGAACCACTCTTTTCCTTCCTAATCCAACATCTTGAGTTAAATTATAGAGTGGATAAAGCCAATGGTAAAATAGTATATGTTTGTTCATAAAATCAAATCAAAGAAACTATGTGCTTTTTCAAACTTGGCTCTCTCTACCTTCCCCAGGCATGGCTGAGAATCACAGATCTGGAAGGAAAGGACTATATCAGATCTTTTAGCTTTTTCAATCTGGATGCACAGAGGAGCCATGAGGCAGGGAGACAACTCAGGCTTTGGTGGTGGGCAGATCTGGATCCAAGTTCCACCAGCTCTGCGCTTGAGAACATGTATCATCTAAGGAAAGTTGTCCAACCTCTCTGATCCCAGTTTTCATGTTTCCAAAATGAAGAAAACAGCTAACACTCACTTGTGGTTTGTCGTGAAGATTGAATGGGGTATGTGAATTTTTATATGAGATAGCTAATGTCGTGAGGCTTTTCTACGTACAGGGGCTTGTCAAGTGCTTTACAAGCTCATCTACTCCTCTCAATAACCCTATGAGGTAGATACTGCTTTCCCATTTTACATGAGAGAAAATCGAGGCTTCAAGAAATTAAGTTCCTTACCCAAATTTCTCCAGTTATTAAATGACCGAGAAGGGACTTAAACCCAGAGCTGTCAGACCCCATGAGAAATGTTTTGCACCGTTATGTTATATGCCTCCCAACAGGTATGTTGGCTCCCTTCCCTTTGTCAGCAACACTACTACTTATACTAAGACCCACCACACTACTATTATTTCTACAAAGACAAGTATCTTAGTCTGCTTGGGCTGCCATAACAAAATACCATAGACTGGGTGACTTAAACAACAGAAGTTTATTTTCTCAAGTTCTGGAGGCTAGAAGTCTAAGATAAAAATTCTAGTCCATTTGGCTTCTGGTGAGAGCTTTCTTCATGGCTTGCAGACAGCTAGCCTCTCATTCTGTCTTCATGTGGCCTTTCCTTGGTGTATGCATGCAGGGGGAGAGAGAGAGAGAGAGAGAGAGGGAGGGGGAGAGAGAGAGAGAGAGAGAGGGAGAGAGATACAGAGAGAAGGCACGCTCGTGTCTTTTCTTATTTGGAGACTAATCCAATTAGATCAGGGCCCCATCAGTATAACCTCATTTAACCCTAATTACTTCCTTAGGTGCCCCATCTCTAGATACAGCCACACTGGGTGTTAGGGCTCCAACATACGAATTTGCAGTGGACATAAACCTTCAGTCCATAACAGCAAGGATATTGGATTTGTTCACTATTCTACCCCCAGTGCTTAGAACTATCTGGCACAGAGTTGGCACTCAGCAAATATTGGTTGAATGTATGTGTTAATAAATGAATAAACACAAAATGAACTTGAATTAATATAGGACACTGATTCTAAACCTTTTCACCAGAAGGGATTCATTTTATTGATTTCTTCCCATGAGGCTTGTGCTTTGATAAATGCCATCTTCCAAGTTGATACTAGTAACAAATTGGCTTTTCCCCTGTTTAATTAATCAAAGACAGATAAATTGCTAACTAGTACTTCTAATCAGCATGAAATATGTAAGCACTGTAACCAGCCTGAGTTGTTTAATTCTAGGCTAAAATAGACAATGACCTGTTGGCGTGGGTGCCCTGACTGCAAGCAAGTTAACAATTACTCCCAAGATTTCAAAATTGCAAAGTTAGTTTATCAACCTGTAGGGATCTGGGGACCTCAGTTTGGGAAACACTCCCTTAGTGTGATCCATGTCATACAACAAAGTGGCATCTTATCAAAGTTTGGGTTCCAATGTGAGTGATTAAGTAAACACATGCATTTAATCAAAATTATCTTTGAAAATCCATTAAATCACCCAGACTCTAGGTTTTGTACATGGCTTCTGCAGTAATAAGTGTCTATAAATTTGCAGTATATGCAGTAATATGCAGTACATAATCAAGTATTTTTATGCAAACCATAATTGAATATATGGTATATAATTATGTGTAATTGAATATCCAGTATACATATATGATTGGGTTGGTAAGTTAGGTGTACACATGATGTGACTCCAACATAATATTGTCATATGTACAAAATAATACATACAGTAAATATTTATATTATAAAGAATAATTAAATAAATACTTCCAACCAGATTTAGGAACACTGCCAAGAGTTTTAAATCCCTATGTTGCCCTCCCTCCTGACACTCCTCTACCTACTCTCCCCTAGCTTAATACTGTCCTGCATTTTGCTTTGTTTTTCAACTTTACCACGTGTCTGTATTACTAAACAATACATCGCTTAGTTTTGTGTATATCTGAGCTTTATATAAATGGTATCATATGGTATGTATTCCTGTGTAATTTACATTATGTAAATGTTTTTACCCAACATTATGTTTCTGTTTCTGTGCATACGGCTGTAGTTCATTCATTTTCACTGCTCTATAGAAAGTAATTTTTCGACTTAAGGTGTATCTTTTCCTGAATTTAGTTGTTTTTATCTAATTTAGTCATGTAATACAAATGCATCAATATAGAAAACTAACACTAATGTTGCAACAAACAACCCCCAATCTGAGTGGCGTTAACAAAATAAAAAATTTATTTTCTGTTCACATCACAGGCCAGAGTGAGCAGGCAACTCTGCTAGACTAATCTCCTCCTAAAAGTAACTCAGGAATCCAGGCTCCTTTCATCTTTGACACCAAGATCTTCAACATTGACCTTCTGGTAGCCATGGAAAAGGAGGGAACAAGAAAGATCTCTTAGGGTTCAGGAGAGGCTGAGAAGTACTTTCTGTATGCCCAGAAAAGGAAATGGATATGCTATAAAAGTGTTCACTGAGCTTAGGATCAGAGGTTTGGCGTGAATAAAATTTGAAAGTTCTCTAATCTAACTCCCTTGGTTTTATCATTCAGTGAATATTTTTTTAGCACCAACTATATGCCAGGTAATGGTCTAGTGACATCTATAGCACCTTTGATGAAGAGCTGCCCATCCCCTGCTTCAACACTCCCCAAGACAGGATGCTCACTGGCCCCAAGGGAGCAACTCCCATATTTGCACAGTTTGGACTGATTATGGACATGTCAAGCAGTTCCAATTAATGACAAGGACCAGGATGTGTCTCTCCTTATACACAAATGTAGAGGTTCCAAGATGACCCATAGGCTGGATTTGTTGAAAGGGTCACCAATGCTGAAGTTATCCATGACAATGACAGTAATTCTATATTTTGAACATGATACCCCACTGAATTTTCTCTCTTTTTCCTGTTCCAACAAATTGTCATATAGTGTTTTCCAAAGTTTGGATGTATTAGATGTCTCCAGATCCCAAAATAGTTGAGCCAGCTGGGCTTTGCCTTTACCCAACTGTTCCCCAGTTTTTCTCTGTACCCTGCCACACACACACACGCTCACACACATGCACATACATGTACACATGCGTACTGAGACCAATATATTGTTTTGTAATTGATGACATTTTCAACTCTGTTCTTTAAGGTTTCATAATACTTCCAATACCTAGCAATCTAGCACAAACACACACACAGATATTTCAAAGGCGTGTGTTTGATACTGTCAACAAACTCTGTAGAGGACAGGGACTTTTGTAGGAATACAGGTGTACATATTAAGGCCCAGATTTTCAAAATGGTACCAGCACAAATAAATCTCGTTCCCAGAAAGAAATGCTGAAACATTGTTCCACTCAAAAATACTTTGAACTCAGTGAATTCTAACTCCTGTGACTTATCTCTTCTGTTGCCCTTGAGTTTATAGTTTGACTATGAAATCAAATAACCATTTTGCATATATATATATATATATAAGCAAAATGTGTGTTTGTGTGTATAAAAACACACAAGCACAAACATCTCTTGGAAAATTTTTAGGGTAAACAGCTTGAATTCAGATGTACTAGTTATGCTTAGGTAAGATGTTGGCAAACTTTTTCTGAAAAGAGATAGATAGTAAATATTTCAGGCTTTTGCACACCATATGTTCTCTGTTGCAGGAAAGGGCTTTCCTGTCTTTCTTTGAGTTTCACTTGCTTGCATCTCACCTTGGAAGATTGTAGACTTGCTGGTGGATGAAAGGTAAGAGGAAAATGATAGCCTCCGCCACTGCCCTGGAAGGCCCTTGCAGACTTTGACAAAGAGGAAACCTTGAACTTCCTTCCAAGCTGAAAGGAGGGTGAACTCTGTGTTCTGAAGCACTCTGTCTAGCACACTACTATTCAGCTTTGCTCCCTCACAACTGCCCTGCTCCACCTTCTGCCACAGCTGCCACCTCCACCCTAATAAAAGGAAAATCAAATTTCTGATTAAGTCACCCACACCTGCTCTGCCTCGCATCAGCCCCATCTCAGTAAATGTCAAGTCCTTTCTTCCACTTCTAACGTCGAAAAACCTCAGAGTCAACCGCAACACTTTTTTGCTCCCCACCATTAACTCTGGTTGTAATTTAACCTCTTCCCACTACTGCTGCTCCCTGACTGAGAGCCAGCATCACCTCTCCCCCATCTCCAGTCCTTTAGAGATCTTATCAAGTCTCCTGACTTTAAACATAGTCTATCTATACGTGACAACTTCCAAATGTACACCTCCAACCGGACCCGCTTTTCCACGGACTGTTCAACACCTCTACATGAGCATTAGAGCATTAACAGGCAAGTCAAACTTCACATGCACAAATTTGAACTCCTTATCTTCCTCTTCAATTCAGCTTTCCAGAAGTTTTCCCCATTTCAGCAAACAGGACCTCTGTCCTTCCACTGGCTCAGACCAAAATCTAAAATACCTCTCTGTCTCTCTCTGTCTGTCTCTCGCTCTCTCTCATCTGTCTCATTCTCTGTCTTCCTTCCTCCTTCTTCTCCTTCCCCACCCCACTCCACACCCATCTAATCCACCAGCAAATCCCCCTGGCTCTACCTTTAAAGTGAATCCAAATTCCAATTCTCACCCCCTCTTCTACGCCACATTAGCCCATCACTTTCTTAGACAAGCATAATAACCTTCTGCCTCCCTGTTTCCAACTTTGTCTCCCTGCAGTCTATTCTCAACCCAAAAAGCAAAGTGTTATTGTTGTTTTAATATCTTTATTGGAGTATAATTGCTTTACAATGTTGTGTTAGTTGCTGCTGTATAACAAAGTGAATCAGCTATATGCATATGTATATCCCCATATCCCTTCCCTCTTGCATCTCCCTCCCTCCCTCCCTATCCCACACCTCTAGGTGGTCTCCCTGTGCTATGTGGCTGCTTCCCACTAGCTAACTATTTTACATTCGGTAGTGTATATATGTCCATGCCACTCTCTCATTTCATCCCAGCTTAACCTTCCCCCTCCCTGTGTCCTCAAGTCCATTCTCTATGCCTGTGTCGTTATTCCTGTCCTGCCCCTACGTTCTTCAGAACCTTTTTTTTTTTTTTTTTTAGATTCCATATATATGCGTTAGCATACAGTATTTGTTTTTCTCTTTCTGACTTACTTCACTCTGTATGACAGACTCTGGGTCCATCCACCTCACTACAAATAACTCAGTTTTTTTCTTTTTATGGCTAATATTCCACTGTATATATGTGCCACATCTTCTTTATCCATTCACCAGTCAATGGACACTTAGGTTGCTTCCATGTCCTGGTTATTGTAAATAGAGCTGCAATGAACGTTGTGGTACATGACTCTTTTTGAATTATGGTTTTCTCAGAGTATATGCCCAGTAGTGGGATTGCTGGGTTGTATGGTAGTTCTATTTTCAGTGTTTTAAGGAACCTCCATACTGTTCTCCATAGTGGGTGTATCAATTTACATTCCCACCAACAGTGCAAGAGGGTTCCCTTTTCTCCACACCCTCTCCAGCATTTATTGTTTGTAGACTTTTTGATGATGGCCATTCTGACCAGTGTGAGGTGATACCTCATTGTAGTTTTGGTTTGCAGTTCTCTAATGATTAGTGATGTTGAACATCCTTTCATGTGTTTGTTGGCAATCTGTATATCTTCTTTGGAGAAATGTCTATTTAAGTCATCTGCCCATTTTTGGACTGGGTTGTTTGTTTTTTTGTTATCCAGCTGCATGAGCTGCTTGTATATTTGGGAGATTAATCCTTTGTCAGTTGCTTCATTTGCAAATATCTTCTCCCATTCTGAGGGCTGTCTTTTCATCTTGTATATGGTTTCATTTGCTGTACAAAACCTGCTAAGTTTCATTAGGTCCCATTTGTTTATTTTTGTTTTTATTTCCCTTTCTCTAGGAGGTGGGTCAAAAAGGATCTTGCTGTGATTTATGTCATAGAGTGTTCTGCCTATGTTTTCCTCTAAGAGTTTGATGGTGTCTGGCCTTACATTTAGGTCTTTAATCCATTTTGAGTTTATTTTTGTGTGTGGTGTTAGGGAGTGTTCTAATTTCATTCTTTTACATGTAGCTGTCCAGTTTTCCCAGCACCACTTATTGAAGAGACTGTCTTTTCTCCATTGTATATTCTTCCCTCCTTTATGAAAGATAAGGTGACTATATGTGCATGAGTTTATCGCTGGCTTTCTATCCTGTTCCGTTGATTGTATATCTGTTGTTGTGCCAGTACCATACTGTCTTGATGACTGTAGCTTTGTAGTATAGTCTGAAGTCAGGAAGCCTGATTCCTCCAGCTCTGCCCTTCTTTATCAAGATTGCTTTAGCTATTCAGGGTTTTTTGTGTTTCCATACAGATTGTGAAAGCTTTTGTTCTAGTTCTGTGAAAAATGCCATTAGTGGTTTGATAGGGATTGCATTGAATCTGTAGATTGTTTTGGGTAGCATAGTCACTTTCACAATGTTGATTCTTCCAATCCAAGAACATGGTATATCTCTCCATCAGTTTATATCATCTTTAATTTCTTTCATCAGTGTCTTATAGTTTTCTGCATACAGGTCTTTTGTCTCCTTAAATAGGTTTATTCCTAGGTATTTTATTCTTTTTGTTGCAGTGGTAAATGGGGGTGTTTCCTTAATTTCGCTTTCATATTTTTCATCATTAGTGTATAGGAATGGAAGAGATTTCTGTGCATTAATTTTGTATCCTGCTACTTTACCAAATTCATTGATTAGCTCTAGTAGTTTTCTGGTAGCATTTTTAGGATTCTCTGTGTATAGTATCATGTCATATTTAAACAGTGACAGTTTTACTTCTTATTTTCCAATTTGGATTCCTTTTTTTTCTTTATCTTCCCTGATTGATGTGGCTAAAACTTCCAAAACTATGTTGAATAAGAGTGGTGAGAGTGGGCAACCTTGTCTTGTTCCTGATCTTAGTGGAAATGCTTTCAGTTTTTCACCATTGAGAACGATGTTGGCTGTGGGTTTGTCATATATGGCCTTTATTATGTTGAGGAAAGTTCCCTCTATGCCTACTTTCTGCAGGGTTTTTATCATAAATGGGTGATGAATTTTGTCGAAAGCTTTTTCTGCATCTATTGAGATGATCGCATGGTTTTTCTCCTTCAATTTGTTAATATGGTGTATCACATTGATTGATTTTCGTATATTGAAGAATCCTTGCATTCCTGGGATAAACCCCACTTGATCATGGTGTATGATCCTTTTAATGTGCTGTTGGATTCTATTTGCTAGTACTTTGTTGAGGAATTTTGTATCTATGTTCATTAGTGATGCTGGCCTGTAGTTTTCTTTTTTTGTGACATCTTTGTCCGGTTTTGGTATCAGGGTGATGGTGGCCTCATAGAATGAGTTTGGGAGTGTTCCTCCCTCTGCTCTATTTTGGAGGAGTTTGAGAAGGATAGGTGTTAGCCCTTGTCTAAATGTTTGATAGAATTCACCTGTGAAGCCGTCTGGTCCTGGGCTTTTGTTTGTTGGAAGATTTTTAATCACAGTTTCAATTTCAG